GAAATAAAGACCCAAGTCAAGAAGTTATTAGAAGCTGATTTAATTGAAGAATCGGAATCCCCTTACGCCTCGCCAGTAACTCTTGCTTTTAAAAAAGATGATGGTCGTCGGACAAGACTTTGCATTGATTTCAGACGATTAAATAAATTAGTAGTTCCTGAATGTGTCTTTGTGTGTTTGCAGTCCAAGATTTGAATTTAATTGAAAGATCTGAAATTCTTCAGGATCAAAATGATAACATGACTGAATTAAAGAGTGCCAAGAAGATTGAAAAACGCCATGGTATTATGTACAAAAAATTGAAGGACAAATCAAGGATATTTGTTTCTGATAAATTTGGGTTAAGAATAATAAAAAAGGTACATAAATATTATGGACATATCGGAGCTGGAACATTGAAAGAGAAAATTAGACCATTTTATTATTTAAAAAACTTTGATCAACTAATTAAAGAATTTTGTAAACATTCTTAAAACTTAGCTAAAGCTTAGAAAACAAAACTAGAAGAAATAGAATCATTGGATTAATGTCAAAACTAGAACCCGCGACAGACCATTCCAAATTATGTCCATTGACACAGTTGGTGGATTTGCCGGTAATAGGTCACCAAAGAAATATATGCATATTTTGGTAAATCATTTTAGTAGATATGCTTGGATCTCCACTACAAAAAGCCAATGTGCAGTTTGCTTGGATCTCCACTACAAAAAACCAATTTCATAAAGTTACGTGACCCGATTGCTAAGAAAAATAATATTAAAATACTTTTAGTCGACCAGTACACCGGAATTTATTCTACAGAACTAAAGCAGAATCCAAACAAGATGAATATTCAAGTGGTTTTTACATGCGTAGATTGCCCTCAATCAAATGGACTAAATGAAAGACTAAACCAAACACTTGTAAACAGAATAAGATGTAAACTTAGTGGAGAAAAACAGGCATTGTCCGTTATTGCAGACGAATTTCCCAAAGAGTACAATCGGACAATTCATAGTTCCACAAAATTTGAACCGGGATATCACTCCATATGACTTACCGGAAAGCAATTTAGCTGCAGATAGAATACAAGCCGGTCGAAATTCTATGCAAAATTTTGAATTAAACAAGAAAAGGGTTGACAAAAATCGTCAAGAGTAAAAATTTGAAGTGGGCAATCAAGAATGGAAGTAAACTTAATAGAGGTAAAATGGACAGAATAAGAGTTGGTCCGTTTAAAATTTTTAGCAAGATTTCACCGCCGATCTTCGAAGTAGACTGCGGAAAGAAGAAGGAATCATATTTTTTTCCCATTAATAAATTGTCACTTTATGTACCTCAAAAAGTGACTTGAGGGAGAGAGATGTAAATTATATTTCATATATTTCATATAATTATCTATGCATTTCTATTCTGTGCTTGTAAATTATGTTTCATTACTTTGGCATTATCTTATATATAAATGCAAATAGCACGTGGTTATATTTTTATTATTGTAAACGATCCTAAAATTTAATTTTTCTATTTAGATTAATAAATTAGGTTATTCGAGGGCAAGCTTATAAATATATATATATATATATATATATATAAGCTTATATATATATATATATATATATATATAAAGTGAATATATATATATATGTATATAATAAAATATTGTTATAACCGTTGGAATGTGTGCTAAATGATAAATTTCATTTAATTATTTTTTTTGTGCCCTATTCTTTTCAGGACTTTTAACACTTTGTCGATGGTTTTTCTTTGCATATATGATATGCTGAGCCATTGAGCCATTGAGCATATCATATATGCTGAGTACTCAGCATATCATATATGCTGGGTCATATCGTGCGACAACTTACGTGGTCGCCCCATTTATCAACCTCGAAAGGATGGATGGCTGGGTTGGCCGGCTGCCCGGATGAACCTGCAGGATTCAAACCCTGGTCGTGGAAGTAGTAGACGAGACCCCTATTAGTTGTCAATTTAGCGTTTCTATTACTGTTGGCATTCAAATAAACGTTCAACGTTTTTTATAGTCTTAAAATAGAAAGTATTTAAATTTTCAAAAAGACAAATTTTGATTCACTTGAGTTATGAAGCAGAACAGTTGTTGCAAACAAATCTGAGATGATTGGTTTGTGATTTTAAAAAATTATTGTAAAACAGAAATAAAAACAGAATCGTAATTTTGGATGAAAATGGCTGTTTAGAATTTTCATAAAATTATTTAAATTAATGACAAAGATCAAAAGCTATGAATAAATCAAGTTTATACATGTATAAATCAACTTATAGCTTAATCAGATGTAACTTCCATTTTGTGAAAAATTTATTCTGATGTATGTCTAGAAAACAATTTTTGTACCTTCGTAGAAAACAAAAAATTGGTGCACGGGGAACAGACAAACAAGTAAGGAGAAATTGCTTGACTGAAATTAACGTTCATAAACAAGCAGCGTACGTCTGAGTTTGAAATTAAATGACCTAGAAAGGACGCAAGTTAGTAAACCAGATAGCGTTTCCGTGATAGTTGATAAGACTGCAAGTAACGATCGAAATATCAAATAGAAAAACAAAGATGTTGTCAACGAGATATGAAAAAGTTTCTAGCAAACCTGTCAAAGAATTTCAAGCAAGGTTAAAAAAATTGTTAAACGTGAAATTTTTTCACAGCGAAATTTTTGCACATTTTCCGGAAAATAATGTTTAATGATCGTTTGGGTAGTAGACTTTTACGACGAACTTGAGGAACAAAAGTTGATATGGCATTATTGGTTATTTGTTCAAAGATATTCCAACATGCATTAGCATCAAAGCAGAATTGAAAATAATAATTCCAATCTATTTTTGAAAAAAATCATTTAAAATATCGTAAAAATTGTAAAAATATATTTCGTTGTTAGAGTTGTCATTTATTAGTTTACCAATGATACAGTTCACTTGAAAAGTAATGCAGTTATGATCACTTGTGGCGAAAGGACCTGTTATCATCAGAGAGCACCAAATCTAAAATGTTCTGATCTCGGTAGGTTGGTCTATCAGCTGATGAAAGCCCAAATCGTTAAAAAGTTCAATGAAGGAATTATAAATTAAATTGTCTTGTGAGGAGACGTTAGTCCAATCGATGAGGGGAAGGTTGAAATCGATAGTTAACATTTTCTCTGCTTAGCTCCTTGATACATTGTACGCTATCACTCGCATATTCCTCAGTCAACCTGTCAAAACCACTACTGCGGTAGGAGATGAAACGATAAACCGATGACGATGATGAAGAAAGAATATCAAAAGAAATTATTTTGATATGGGAATATTTTGTGGGTACCTTTACAACTTTGAAAGGAATCGAGTTATTAATTATGAAAGCCACACCACCACTATCTTTTCAAACAAAACTGAAACCAGTAGGTAAAAACAATTCGTCACGATTTTCTGGTGAAACCCATGTTTCGATAACTGAAAAAATGTCAGGATCGTATTCTGATAAAAATAAATTCAAATCATTTCGTTTATTCTGAAGACTTCTAACATTTGGCAGCCATTCTAAGCGGTCGGACGAAATATGTCAAGGGCGAAGGAATGTTAACATGATGGCGCTGAAAAAGAAGAATTTGACAGCTAAATGTGGGAGAATGTGGGAGAAAGTTTTTTATTTTTTTAATTTGAAGTTTAATGATAACTTTGAACAAATTATTTTGTAAATAATCGTGAAGATTGAATTTTAAAAATCAGTAAAAAATAAAAATGTTAAAATTGAATTTGTGAAAAATTTTGACGTGATAGAAATATTTCACGTACATATTTGAAATCAGTGTTTTTGAATTATGTCAGAACAATTAAAATAAATGAGATATCTGAAATTACTTTTAAAAATGCATACCAGTGTAATGGGATTCGACAAAAAAAAAGCTAATGGTTTGAATCTAGCGGTAAGCAATGTCAACAGTGACGAAAAAGATTGGATAAATACGCAAAATGAAAATCACGACTTGTCGCGGATTGGGTTGATCCGAAAAAGTTGCGAGAAGATGGTATCGTGAAGACATTAAAACTTCGTCGGTTGAGGAAGAAGCGTCAGTGCAAACGGAGGTTGTTAAAAAAAGGATAGTATTAGAAGATTTAGATAAAAGCATAATTTGTTGTTTTTCCTTATTTATTGTAGCAATTGGTTTTTATGATTTTTTTTTCATCTAATGTAAAATAGATATGTTAATTAATTAAAGAGAATAAGTTAATTAATTAACTTGTGGTGAATTTCGATAAATGATTTCATTAGTTGAATTGTTAAGTTTTGCTAATTTTGACGTAGAGATTTATTAATAATTTATTAATAATAATGGTGATTAAGAATAATTGTTAAATTAGTTATTTAATAAATATTTTTTTGTTGAAATATTGCGTACAATGTTTTCACCGTTCATTGTCAGAAACGATGTAAATGTAGCTTGGTTCTGCATACTGGATGAAATTGAAAAAGTATTATTGCTTTGATATTGGAGGCATCCAAGTTTAAGTATTTCAGCCTGAAAGCTTTGCTCCACTATTGGTCTATATCAAATGTATCCATGTTTATTAATCAGATCCAATTTTAGCATTAAAGATCTTGAATGTAACTAGATTAAAAATTTTCATTATCTAATTTACTTTAATTCCATGAATAGTGATAATATTTGAGTTGGATAACCATAAATTTAAAAAACAAAAACGGTTCGGTCAAATAGTTTTCATATTTGTACTTTAAGGAAACGTATAAAATATATCGCATAGGTTACTTCAGAAACAGGAATGCCGTTAGAATGAAATATGGCGAGAACTCGAGAAAAACTATAGCTTAACCATTAATAGAAAACTTTTTCAATGCTTATATTGAAAAGTTTGAAAAAACATAAGTAAACTTTAGACAAAATAAGTGAAACTGTTAAATAAAAAATGTTTCATTTACAGCTATCAAATTTAAATACTAAAACAGATTAAAGTATTTCAAATATGTTTTAGGTAAATTAGGCAAACAGACAAACCATTCCAGGATACGTGACAATCATTCCTCGCACTTCATCGACAAAATCTTGCCATTCTTGATCGGTTGTAGACAACATTTCTCCTAAAATGCATTAAATCAATAACATAACGTAAAAATAATTTGTGGAAAAATGGTTAACCAAAATTGTATAAAAACTAACCAATTTGAATATCATCAACCAAAGGTTTGTTACTTTTTAACAAAAAAGTCAAAACTTCGTTCATAGACAAAATTTCTTTGCCATTGTCTAAAATTTTCAATTTAAAAATACATATGAGTAATTAATAACTATTTTAAACAATTGCTTTTGGCTAATTTTCCTATGATAAGGATAACAATAAAAACCACGAAATGAATTTAATAAATTTTAGAAAAAGAACATTAATTTGAATTAAAAATTCGCCAACATTCCGAATATATTAAAAAAATAAACTGAACACAAATTGGCAATAAAATTAAAATGAAATTAACAATAAAATAAAATACACATTGTAAATAAAATGAAAAAATAGAAAAGACAAAGAAAATAATATAAATCAATACCCGGGAGCTCTCTGGAGAATCTTGGCATTAAATGAAAACATCTGCAAGAGGATTCATAGTTTTTGTTTAACCAATCTAAATCAATTAATTCCAATATCTCTCCGTATAAGAAATCACTGAAAAGATCTAAACTTTTGACATCAAAATTCTGTTTGTTAACAAAATTAATAAAAAAAATAGTCACAATTAAAGCAAATCACAATTTATAAATAAATTTTTTAGAACCGAAAAACGTGACCAAACGTATAAAAACAAGGTTTAGTGTTAATGTGAAAACAAATAGCATGAAGTAATAGAATCGTGGTTTGTATAGCGCTTCTTTTGAATAAATTTCTACTTGCAGCGGAATGTTGAATAAAAGATTTTATATATCTTTGAAAGATTTTATATATCTTTCATACAAAATTTTTTTACCGAAATTTTTTTTAGATCTGCAGGAAGCAAGTTTTAGATTTGAGTAAAGAAACAAAAACCTTTTTTTTCAAAAGCAAGATTTAAATTGTGGAAGCACAAAATTAAAAACAAGACAATTAGCTTCATTGGCTAGACTATTGCTTACAATGACAGACTTAAGACAACGTTTTCTGGCATGCTGAGCCAATGTAAGTTGAGACTAATTTGAATCAATCCAACCAATGTGTTTAAAAGACTAAAAATAACCATCTACATAAAGTAAAATCTACATACAATAAAATTACAAATAAAACTGTGTGTTCCTCTTGATTGTATTTATTAGGCCCAGTTAGCAAAAACATTGCCCGAAAAGTTAATTTATGTAGTTTTCCTAGGAGAGAACAGAACCCAGTATTACTAAAATTTGTTTTTGGAATTTTGAAGTGTTTGTCGAAATTGAGGGTCAAAATCCAATGTTCTATTGTAATTAGTGTACATGAAAAAACTGTAAAAACCTGATGGTAGAAACCACTCGCAATCCATAGAGTTAACTATGGTCAGTATTTGTAACTTATAAAAGCTGGCGACTTCGACGATTTCGTTAAAATTTGCCAAAAACCGTGCTCGCAGGTTTATTAAGAAAAAAACCTGCAGCTTTCATAACGTTGACAATGTTTTCGACATGCGTGATCGTTTCAAAAAAATCTTGTAATTCACTGAGTCAAAAGCAGCATTTGTGTGAAGTGTTAGCAAATAAAACTATTCCATGCTGTCAACATTACCAATATGTGAAAAAATTTTCAAAATTGGTCTCACAAATGGAAATGGAATTCTAGGTTTTTTAATTTTCATATTTATTAAATATTTAAAAAATCCTTGTCGAATCATTTTTATTTTCTGGCGGCATACTGAGATACTTACAGACTTCTGCCATCTGAGCTATTAAAATTCAATGCTTTTATATTTTTTGTTACCTTACGTTACATTATTATCTAAAACTATATCAATCAATCAATCCATCTTCGTTTTCCGTCCAGAGACCCGTTTCCCGAGGTAGGACGTTGTTCTCTTTGCCATCAACTTTTTGCGCCAAATTAGACGATCAGTTGTATCCATTTCATTTAAATATAGAGCTTTCATGTCTTGCTCGATTGCGACCAGGACTTCTTTGGACGGCCTTTGGGACGTGTGCCAGGTACTTCAACATCTGCAAGAGAAGTTATGGCACTGTTTCCACTTCGTTTGACATGACCAAACCACCGCAGACGATGTTGCCGGCATTCGTCCTTTATATCACGACGCAAGATTTCGGTAGATTTGATGTGGTCCTTCAGAATAATTCGTTGCATCCATCGGAGCATTTTCATGTCGGTTCGTTGAAGTTGTTGTTCCAGTTTGGCTGTCATTGGCCACGTTTCTGCACCATATAACAACACCGGACGTATCACAGATAAAGTCTTGATCGTAATGGTAGTGGGATGTCACACCGCATCAATATAGAGGCAAGGAGATGCCATTTATTCCAGGCTGCACGTATGCGTGCTCGAACGGCAGCTTCAGCTGTTCCAGTACAATCCAGAACATCCCTAGATATTGAAACGATGTGACTTTCTCTACCCTAATGGCTTCAAAAACAGTGCTATTTCGAATTTGTTGTTGAGGATTGATGCAAGCAGGACAAACAAAATTGGACCAATTATTTTTGAACAACATTTATGACATCATTGGTTACACTGCTGACACTTAATTGAATTGTTACCAACACCAGCTTTACAAATTGAACAGGGCCATCGTCCAGGGTTAACCAGTGTTCATTGCTTTGATGATGATGACTTCGAATCCATGATCGGCGAGTCTGGTGTTCCAATCTTCAAACATCTGTGCTGCATTCTGCTCAGACGTGGCTGTTAAAACGATATCATCAGCATATATTAAATTCCAAATGTCACCAGTGCATATCGGTTTTGTGATTTCTTCCATCACAGTTATAAATAACAGTGGACTGATGAGAATCGAGCCTTGGTGAACTCCAACGCCGATGTCAAATGCATCTGTGTTTCCAACCGTTGTGCTGACAAGAGTCTTAGTATTCGTATACGAATACTAAGACATTTCCATCACAAGTCAAACAAGATATTCTGGAATGAGTTGTCGACGTAGACTCCACTTGATTGCTTCACGGGGAACTCGATCAAATGCTTTTTCAAGGTCTACAAAAATGTGTAATAGTTGTTGATGCTTTGCGAGGTACTTCTCTTGCAGTTGCCGAAGGATGTGAATTGCATCAATTGTTGATTTCCACGCTAGGAAACCAAATTGATATTTTCCGATTGTGATGCACGACGTTAATCTTCTCTCAATGATTTTCTCGATAATTTTCAGGGAGTGTTCTAACAGACGTATACTCCGATATGATGAACAGTTCAATGGATCACCTTTGCCTTTGTATAGCGGAACTGTCATGATATAGTTCCATTCAGTCGGCATTGAGCAATTTCTCCAGATTTTACGCCAAAGTTGTAGTAACGTTTATAAAACTATAAATACTATTAAAATTATGCTTTTATATTTTTTTATTACATTATTACATTATAAGCATGAGTATTTCAAAAACCCTGTAAAATTTACAATTGCTATTTTATGTTGAGAATGTAATAAATTTTTATCACTATTAATTTGTTCTTTAGCCTTTGCTATAAGCTTCGACAGTCGTCACCACTGACCCTAGTGTTGTAACTTCAAGGATGTCAACGTTATGAAAGCTGCAGGTTTTTTTCTAAATAAACGTGCGAGCACGGTTTTTGTCCCTTTATTTTTTATCATGTACATGGCAAACCCTGTAAACCTCATATGATAGAGAAGGAAATTCTAAAATAAACTAAGAAATCAATAAATTATTACTAAGGGAACCAGACAAAAAGAATGATTTAAAATAATTTTTTAAAAATATATAAATATAAAAATAAATTTTTAAGAAATTTTATGATAAAAATCGGCGTGCAAGTATGATTTCGAAGCAGGTGAAAATGTGTTTGGAATGTGTTAGGTACTTAACACCTAACAGTCACTTATTCCTACATGTAAGAGACATTTCATCACGGTGAACGTAATGATTTTTACATTTGTTTTATTAAAAAATTTTATTAAAAAAAATTTATAAAAAATTGATGATAGGAGAAAAGAAAAGCGAGTGACATTAGCTCATGCAACAAATTGATGAACATTTCTGTATAACTAAAAACAACATCGTAGCAATAAATATGTCAGTCAGTAATATGATAAAAACAGCACTAATTCCAATAAACGTTTAAACAAGTTTCAGTTCAAAAATCTACCAAAAATCTTGAACCTAAAGAATATAGATAATTTGACAATAGTGCAAATTACACTGGAGTCGAAAGTAGGCATCCTTGAAGTTACATCACTAGTACCTGTTGTGACGACCATCGAAGGTTATAGGTTATAGCAATGGCAAAAGAACAATTTAATAGTGATCAAAATTTATAACATTCTCATCATAAAATATCATTTGTGAGATTATGCAATTGCAAAAAATACAACACATTGCATGATTACATTAAGTTTTTTATGATGTTCTTTATAAAAAAAAAATTAAATACTTCAATCATATCTTCTTCAAACCAATGAATTGTATATTCAATATTGAATCGAATGACTTTACATGTGGGCACCTAATAACATAAATTAATTTTTTTTCAAAATAGTATATATTTAACAAAATTTTTACGAACGATACACGAGAGAACAAAAACTAATAAAAAATAAAAATAGACATCAGGGTAATATTTCTTTTTGCTTATAAATCATAATGTTGAAAATTCTCAAAATTTAACTATTAAATACGTATAAACTTCAGTTAAATTTTTTTCTAGATAAGGGAGTATAAAAACCTTTGAGATTTTGTAGTGGGAGAACAGAGAAAATCCCTCAAAAATATATTCGTGACTATCATAATTGATGACTGATGGGTTGCGAGTCTTATGAATATTTTATTAATTTATTACCATTAAAAACAATAAAACTCTGAAAAAAATTTTCTTAAAAATTATTTTTTATTTTTCTTTAGTCTAAATATTTGCGTCAAAATCAAAAATTTTCATTTCTATCAGTTTGTGTTGAAAATTTTTTCAAAATCCAATTTAGAAGATAAATATTTGTGTATATTAAACTAATGGTTTTTAAATTTTAACAAAAATTTTAAACAAAAATTAAGGTTATAGACTACACGTTGAAACTAGCACATAATAACAATCATAATATTTTCATTTGGCGTATTATTCTAAATTTGATTGTGTATTTAGATGAATATTTATATCTTAAAATTACAGTGTGAAATTTCATTGAAAAATTTTTAATTTTAAATAAACTTTTTTAAAAAACAAACGTATGGAACTTATTCGTGGTAAAAAGCCTCCTATTACAAAGGACGTAAAACGACCAAAGATTATAAGATCTAAAGTTCGTGCCGCTCTTTCCAAATTAATCACCAGGCACATATGAAATAGTTGTTGAAAAAATTAAATGCTTTGAAGAATTTGGCATTGAAAAAGTGACAAAAATTTTGAATGAGATATATATCGGCGGCGATATATCTGAAGATCTATCCATGCCGATATTTATTGCATTGCCTAAAAAACCTGATATTTATTGCATTGCCTAAAAAAACTGTGATCTGTATCTTTATGTGAAAGGTAGATCTACATAGAATATTCACTGGAGGCGTGAATATAAACAACGGGCTGATGACACAGCGAAATCAATGGAGAAATATTTTTTGAAAGTAAAAGAAAAGGCTTGGTAAAAGCAAAAACGTCTCAATCTGCTCCAAAATATTTTATGGTAAACAAGTGAAACAAACAGCTTCAATTATCAAGGAAGTATGATTACCTCAGGTTGTAAATGTGATATGGATATCAAAAGAAGGATAGCTATGGCAAAAGATGCATATTAAAAAATAAAAAACATTCTCACAAAAAGTAAAAATAGGATATCAACAATTTTAAAACTGTTAGAATGTTAACATTTTCCTTTGTTCATTCATCACTCCGTGTCCGGGACAATTTCTATAAAAATAGAAAAAAAAGATTGTTGATGAGATGTGGTATTTGAGAATTATGAAAATTAGTTGGTTGGACCTCTCATACTTCCAACGAGAATATATTAAAACAATCCGGTTATGAAAAAATGAAATTCCAGCAAATAATCAGACGGTGGCAGGGAAGGATTGGAAAATCCAACAACTTCTTGAAAGATTGCATGGAGAAGAAACAGCGGGCAACAACTAATTATATTTGGGAAGTCCAGGTGTCCCTTGTTGAATCAAAAGTTTTGTGGAGGTCGATGGTCGTCAAATTCTTGAAAAAATTTGGTAGCTTTTTTTTAAAACAAAATATTTTTTCATTAACAAAATTTTGTTCCGTTAAAATATCATAAAATTTCATTTTTTTATATATATTAACAAAAACGTCATAAAAATGCCATTGTAAAAATGAAAATGTAATAACATTACCATTATAATAAATTTAATTTGTCACAACGCTTTTGTCAGATCAGAAACTGGTGTGTTCATGTTCAAATAACAGATTCTAGTTTTTTTAATTTTATAGATAAACTTTTTATCCAGCCGCAAATGCTTTTGTGTTGAACAAATTGTTTGAAACGTGGAAAAAGTATTATAACAAAAACGACAATAAATATTAATTAAATAAACCTGACAAACAAACCAAAAAATTTGTGTGAGGAGACATTGAGATTTTGTAGTGGTAGAGATCTCCATTATTGTTTGAGTGAGGTTGACACTTTTTTATATTCTATAAGCAATAAATTTATTCTATGAAACTGATAAATTGCTTGTTTTGAATAAACAAAACCAGTAACTTAAGGAAAAGGTACCTGTTCTCCAGGATAAATGTCGTGTCGAATACCGTGAAGTTTTGTTTTTTCTTTACATCGACATAACGGACCGTCATTCATCTGTTAAAACAAAAATATCAATATCAAAAATCGCAATTCTAAAATAAAAACATAAAACCTCAACTAAATTAATTTTTTTTCTTTCAACAAAAACAAAATTCAAATCAATCAATAAAAAATGGTTACATCTAAACAAAGATTGTCCAAGCATTCATAGGGATGAATAAATATTGTCTGCAAAAAGTTTCTTCAAATTTTTAGTGTTTCTTTCGTCTCCGCAACGATTAATTAACCCTTTTTAAAACGATTTATTTCAGGTTGCAAAATAAGGTAAACAAAAAAGCGTGAAAAAATTGAAAGACTACTAAATTTAACCTCGGAGAAACTAAAAGCTGATTAAAAAATGCACCCCAAGCGATACAACTACGAGGACAATAAACATTTTGGTGATTTTTGATTCAGCCAAATCCAACATTAGCCAAATCAAATGATTACAAACATGGCTAATACGTGATCCAAAAAAGCTTATAAATTTTGAACTATTTTTCAAATTTAAACTTTTCAATTAATTCCAAGTAGAAATGCGTTCCGGTTAAATTTAAATTCGTTGAATATGCATGATGAATTTTTTTCACAAATCCATTGCTTCTGAAGCGTGATCTTCAACAAATATAACAAAATGAATTTGAAGAACTCAAACATCTTCTGGAACTCGAACAAGTAGCCAGGTTAAATCAAATGAATTAATATGAATATAAATTTCAATATTAAATAATGAATTTATTTTAAAGGTTTTGATGGTATAAGCAATTTCATGCACATATGTGTGTGTGTGTCTGTGTGTATACTGCATTGTCCATGTGAGTAATGAATATATACACAGATACATTCACACATACCATTGAAATATTAGACGTTATCTAGATTAAGTAATGTATGTTAATTATTTGTTGTTTTAACCAAATTTTTTGGAATTATGAAAAAACTCACGCGATAGAAAAAAAATGGATTATATATTTGAAAGCAGAAACATGTTTCATTTTTGAAACATCTGATATCATGCATACCAGTGAATCAATCATAAGCCAAATTTGATAACTACTTAATTCAGTTAGAACTGTAAAGCCTATGTTAAACAATTTGTTTATTAACCGTGTAACGACGATATCTTGTTCATTGTCTTGTTTCAAGTTTAAAAGGTCATTCTCACTTTTTAGATATCAATGAAAAAACACACGGCGTACATGAATACGCGTGAAAACAACCCATAATACACACTGCATATGATAGGCATGGTATTCGAACTCAGTCATTGAAATAGGCACCTCTGCTCACTTATTTTCATGTACATATGCATAAATCCAACTTCTGACACCGGTAGACGACGAGTTCGTTTAATCCCAATGGAAAAAGAAAATATAACTTTAAAATTATCTTTTTATTTATCAAATCAATGGTCACGATAGCTAATACAAAATGACAATCAATGTTATAAATAACGTTCAAAAACTATGTCTTTAGAATTCCAATTCAATATTGTAAATTACACAAAATATCACTTTCAACGCAGTCAAATATCGCTCTCGACACCATTCAATATCGCTTTTTCAATATAAACGCTCGTCTTTGTATATCTGTCTTATCGACGCCTCTAACATATACAAGACATTTTGCTGTCAGAATGTAGAGCATTGCCTCTCGAACTTGGTGGGTTTGTAACAACAATAGCCCCTCTTGTGACGGTTTTAACAGTTATTTTTGTTCAAACTTCATAATTTAATTTAGTAGCTTAAGAGCTTTAATTCCAACTAGTTCTTCGTCATAGCAAAAAAAGTTTCCATTTTTGGACAAATTTTTGGACAAATCTAACGAAAATTTGTTGAAATGTCTTGACAAAAAAAAGTCAATAAGAGGCTGAACAAACTTTTTTCATTAGACAGAAGAGACGCCGGCATAGAATTGTCAACAACAATTCTAACAATGGCTAGTGCTTTCGTTCAGTTAAATATTAATAATAACAGATACATATTCGTATGGCTTTAGCGAATGTGGAAAAAAATAACAGATACATATTCGTATGGCGTTAGCGACTGTGGAAAAAAATGACCTCAATTAGAAGTTTCCTGTCCGTTCGTTACCAATGACCACAATTTACTGACTAACTCATCAAGCAAAGATATTAACCATGATGTTTTTCGACAATTTCGACAAAGCCGATTTTATTACTAGGAACGAATGCTTGAGGCCAATAAACTGGGATTACATTTTTCAAGACTGCTTCAACGTTAAAACGTGTTGGGAAATTTTTGAGCAATTTATCTTAATTAATTGATTGATTAACATAATGTTATGTTAACTTACATCCCCAAAACTCGTCATAAATATAAAGTATATTTCACTACTGGAGGAAATGGAAAAATAGTTCTTCCTTGGATGAAAGAGAAATAATAGAATGATAGAAAGTCACGAAGATCATTCATAGCGTCCGGAGACCCAGTTCTCCCGAGGTAGGACGTTGTTTTCTTTGCAATCAATTTTTTGCGCCTAATCAGATGATCAGTTGTATCCATTTCATTTAAATTTAGAGCTTTCATGTCTTGCTCGATTGTTTGCGATCAGGACTTTGAGACCTTTGGGACGTGTGCCAGGTACTTCATCTGCAAGAGAAGTTATGGCACTGTTTCCACTTCGTTTGACATGACCAAACCACCGCCGACGGTGTTGCTGGCATTCGTCCTTTATATCATCTAAACCAGCACGACGCAAGGATTTTGGTAGATTTTATGTGGTCCTTCAGACTAATGACCTACCCCACAGCAGACGATGATGCCGGCATTCGTCCAGTATATCATCTAAACCAGCACAACGAAGGATTTCGGTAGATTTCCTTCAGACTAATTTGTTGCATCCATCGGAGCATTTTCATGTCGGTTCGTTGATGTTGTTGTTCCGGTTTGGTTGTCATTGGCCATGTCTCTGCACCATATAACAACACCGGACGTATCACTGATTTATAAAGTCTTGATCGTAGTGGTAGTGGGATGTCATGCCGCATTAATATTTCAAGGAGATGCCATTTATTCCAGGCTGCTTCAGCTGTTCCAGTACAATCCAGAACATCTTCTAGATATTGAAACGATGTAACTCTTAAAGGCTTCAAAAATATTTGTATTTTGAATTTGTTGTTGTGGATTGATGCAAGCAGGACAAACAAAAGTGGACACTTTAGATAAAGTACCAATTATTTTTGAATAACGTTTGTGACACCACTGGTTACACTGCTGACACTTGATTGAATTGTTATCAACACCAGCTTTACAAACTGAACAGGGCCATCGTCCAGTAGCTGTAGATTAGATAGGTTCACCAGTGTTCATCGCTTTGGTTTTGCTGATGTTGACTTTGAATCCATGATCGGCGAGTCTGGTGTTCCAATCTTCAAACATCTGTGCTTCATTCTGCTCAGACTTGGCTGTTAAAACGATATCATCAGCAATATATTAGATTCCTAATGTCACCGGCGCCTATCGTTTTGTGATTTCTTCCATCAGTTATAAATAACAGTAGACTGAGAATCGAGCCTTGGTGAACTCCAACGCCGATGTCAAATGCATCTATGTTTCCAACCGTTTAGGATATAAACAGATCCATCTAAGCTGATATATATATATTTCAATGTAGGAAAAACTATTTAAACAAGTAAGTTTAAAAAAAACTATTTAAACAAGTAAGTTTAAATTATTCAAGTTTAAACAAATTGAATTCTTAGCTGTCAAGCGACAACACCGAAGGCTGTTCAAAAATGTCAAAGTTATACCTGGCGAATCATGTGTCGCCCAACATAGACTCCTAGTGGCAGACCTGGTTGTCTAAACAAATGCCTCGGAGAATAAAAACGTGGAAACTGAAAAGCAATGTTCATCGAGAAAAATTTCAACAGATTGTCGCCACACAGTTAGACCACCAATCGCAAGCCAGTACAGATTGGAGTTCATACAAAACCGTTTCGATAAACGCTGCAACTACAGTTTGTGGGAAAACTAGTACAAAACGTCAGCATGAACGGGACACTTGGTGGTGGAATGACAGTGTAAAAATGCAATAGCTGAAAAGATAGCAATGGCAAAAATCAAAGTCTGTTGATGACCATAAAATTTTCCGAGAGAAGAACAACTATGCAAGACGTCAAGTCGCACTGGCTCGGACAGATCAGTGCAGAGAGTGGCTCACTAAAAGCAAAGGTGAACAAATAAAATATCTGTATCGTATAGCAAAACAAGCAAAGTGTACGAAAAAAGACATAGTTGGAGCCTCATGTATCAAAAACGACAACAATAAGATGGTTCTTGAACAAGACGAGATCAAGCTACAATAGAGAGAATACTTCAACCGTCTGTTAAACGAAACAAATCCCATCAATGTCAACTTTGACGCTCCACCCATCGAAGGTCCTATTACAGACATCACTGTAGAGGAGCTTACAGAAGCTCTGAAAGCTATGAAAGATGGAAAGACAGTAGAGCCCTCTGGACTCACAAATGACATTATCAAAGAATCTGGTACTGCAGGTATCCAAACGTTACTACAACTTTGCCGTGAAGTGTGGAGAAATTGCTCAACGCCGACTGAATGGAACTGTAGCATGACAGTTCCGCTATACAAAGGCAAAGGTGATCCATTGAATTGTTCATAATATCGGGGTATACATCTGTTAGAACACTCCCTGAAAATTGTCGAATAAATCATTGAGAGATTAACGTCGTGCATCACGATCATAGCAGGGAAATCAACAATTGATGCAATTCACATCCTTCGGCAACTGCAAGAGAAGTACCTCGCAAAGCATCAACAACTAATACACATTTTTGTAGACCTTGAAAAAGCATTTGATCGAGTTCCCCGTGAAGCAATCAGGTGGAGTCTACGTCGACAACTCATTCCAGAATATCTTGTTCGACTTGTGATGTAAATGTATACGAATACTAAAACTTTCGACAGCTTAGGGTGTTTAACTTATTTAAACACCTTAAGCTAGTTGGCAAAATAAAGTCTTACGGACTATCTTAAGATCTTTTATCCTAGCTGTTAGGCTTCATGTTTGAACGCTAACAGCTTGTAAAAATTCAAATAAATTTTCAAGTCCTGTATCAGTTCTAGTGGTGTACCCTGGAACCCAACCTATTCATCATAAACGATTTTTGAATGCATTTCATCTAAATAATTTTCAAGTGCCTTTCGCTGATAATATCGATCTATATTGCGGCTCATCCCATTCAGCTTATCTTCAACAAGTCATCAACGATATAGTTTTTTGGAGTAATAAAAAACTGTGTTCTCATTGCTCATTTCTTTCACCATCAATAGCAATAAACACAGAAGTTGATAGAGTGAAAACAGTCGGATAACAAAAAAAGGTGGTTAGACAGAGTAAAAGGTTAAACAAAGAAAGATACATTACTAATATTTGAAAAAAAAAGAATAGAGAAAAATCACAACGATGTGTCCTTTTAATCAACTAATGTCGATAAGAAAAGGAGGGGTTATTTAACTATTAAACAGCGTATTAAAGAAATTTTGAAAAATACAATTCAATTCAAAATTATGTGAAACTTGTGACCAAAATAGAAAAATTTTTAAAAATACATCATCAAGCAAATGTAATACAAAATAATAAAAAATTACTTCTCCTGGAAGATTGAACCATAATTCATCATGCAATTTTTCGGGGTGTTTGTTTTTCCATTCAATAATATTAACTTTACTTTTAATATCATCATCTGCATCGTCATTATCTTCATCATCTTCTTCATCACTTTCTTGCTCACTTCCATCTAATTTTTTAAATATTAATTAGAAATCGTTTGTCAATATTATTTTTGCCAATATACCCAGACAATTGAAAAGAAAATCATTAAAATGAGATCTTTTGAAATATTAACAACTAAGAAAGAAACCAGCTTGAAATAAAGCCAAAATCACAAAAATTATAAGGTTAAAATTTTGAAAATGTAAAAAATGTAAATGTTACCCAATGTACAACTTTTTTTTGCTCCATATTTTTTAAAAAATCTTTCAGGCATAGAAACCGGTAATCTGTGTGCTCTGATTAACTTAGCTCTCTTTAAAAGAACATTTTCGAATTTCTGCTCTAAATCTTGCATTCGTTTGGTGCTCTCAACCATATCATTCTACAAAATGTCGAGAAAAACTTTAAAAAATTTCAGTAACATAACATAACATAAATTAACATAATTTTTAAAATTTATTTAACACGAAAATTTTGTAAAAATATATTCAAATCATATATAAAGTTGAATATATAATATATGCAAATAAAATCTCTGTATATGTAAGTTGTTATATATATATATATATATATATATTGTTATTATATTATTAGTTGTTATATATATATATATATATATATATGTTATATATATATATATATATATATATAGGGTAATAGAGTGATTATTTCCGACCTGCTTCCACTTATATATATATACGTATTGTTATAACCGCTGCAATGGTCAAATTGCGCTTTACTATTTGTTATCTTGATTATTCGTTATCTAACCAAAATAACAGGGCATTTAAATTCATATATTACTTTATTGTGGTTCAAAATAGAATCGTCATTAGAAGTGCAGTTGTTCTTTAGGACCAATTGTGATGTCTTACAATTATTGTAGTATATTCTGAGTTTTACTTTATTAGTATCATTGATTGGTGTAACATTACATTTTATGATATGCATATATATATATATATATATATATATATACATATATATATATTATATATAGCAGTAATTTATAAAATCTGCCGAATATATATATATATATATTTATATATATATATATTATATATATAGCAGTAATTTATAAAATCTGCCAAATATATATATATATATTTATATATATATATACATATATATATATACACATATATATATACATATATATATACATATATATATATATATACATATATATATACATATATATATATATATATACATATATATATATATATACATATATATATATATACATATATATATATTATATATATATATTATATATATATATATATATATATTATATATAGCAGTAATTTATAAAATCTGCCGAATATATATATATATATTTAATTAAATAATTAAGGCCAGTACGTAAACAGTTAACATTAAATTCAATCGCAACTATATTATTAGTAAACTTATATTTTAATTTTTCTAATTATATTGTTATAACCGACCCCTTGAACTTGTAGGGTATGGTTATTCCTCTCTACGTTGATTCTTGACTCCTGAACAAACTTATTTCAGATGACTTTATTAGAAAGAAAACAGTGCTGGCGATCTCGTGTTTTGCTGTGATCAATCACTCGTTTATTTAATCTATAAAATCTTTAGAATGCAGCACAATAACCGGCAGGTAAATCACGAAATACAACAATTCGTCAGTAGTTAAGTTTCAGACTAATTACATTGAGTTTTCTAGCCCTGGTATTCCTTACTGCAGTAAGTTTCCAGCTATTAAAATCTTACCTCTGTCACCAGTGTGTAATCTCCTGAAGATCCCACTTCTAACACCAGCGTTGTAACCTCTTCGACCTCGTAACTACCAACACCGATGTTATAGCTTCAAAACTCGCAATATCTCACACAATACCGTGTTGTAGCTTCTAACAATAATCAAGAGTTCGTTTATCCGTAAGTTCAAGATTTCCGTTAGATGAACACAACTACTTTAAACGCAAACTAAGTTGAACCAGCAGTAATAGAAACAATAAATTAATCCAAATAACTACGTAAAATCACATTAATCACTTTTACATTAAATGTGTTCTGTCTTCTTCTTACCCGTACTCCTCGTGTCGTTATCTCCTGTCTACCTTCATGTTTATATAGCTACCGATCCGCTAATAAGTGTATCACATATCGTGTCACGTGAATTACAATCGTTTTAATTGTCTACGCCTTCTGCTAGTATGGCAGGTGGCATGTGACTTTTACAACCTCCAGATTTCACGGCAAAGTTGTAGTAACGTTCGGATACCTATCATACATTTTACACACAACCTATTGTTGTTAGAAACTGCTAAGAATAGGACGGATCCAAAAAATCGTGATTTTCGTGGTATCCGGATCCATTCCGAATTTAAGTAATGTATGTATCCAAATCCGGATCCTAGATACATGCGCCCTCACAGCCAAGTTTCACCCAATAAATTCTCAATCATAGTGATAGAGCTAATCAATTCAATCAGTCAATCCTTGTTTATAGTCGGACTTTTTTATTCCATTCATCAGTTTCTGTCTCCAAGCCATCCATTGCGTCCAAGACTTTTTTGTGCGGGTGATAGGAACTAAATTAGTCTTATTAAATTCAACTAGAACTATATTTAAACCAAAAAATACAGTAAAACGACAGATGTATCAATTTAAAATTATTTCATCTAAACAAAATTTATTTGCAACTTTTACAATTATGCATTTGTGGTCAAGAATTTTTTTGTAATTTTCTACAAATTAATGTGCATCTATAAAAGTTTCTTCCAAATTTTTATGGTGGTTTTTTTATAATTCCGCAACGATTTATTGTTAGCATTGAAGCTAAAATGACTATTTTTGGTCTGTAAATTACACGAAAAAGTTTAGAAAACCAATTAGTAGTTAACAAATTTTTACTTTAACCCTAAGAACGACCAGACATCATGATGTGAATCTTTGTGAATAATTGAATAATTCATGAATCTTTGTGAATAATTTTTAGGAATTTTTCAACTTTTGTGACTTTTATTTATTTGTATAAAAAGAAATTAATATATACTACCGGGAAATATGCAAAAATGAAATTCTAGCACCAATGGGGTTTATCGGATCCAGTTCTATGCTACAAGATTTTTATATATTGTTTTCTGTGTAAATATTTGTACACTGTGCTGTCATTTTGTCACGAATAATTCAATAAATTTTATAACGATATGTCGAAGTTTTCGCTAATGCAAACATCTAAAATTTTGAGAAATGAAAGTGATGAAAATGAAGTAATTGAATGGAGAAGTAAAGATGGAGAAAGTGCTGAAGATGATGGAAAAAACGAATATGGAGCAAGTTATTGAATACGGAAAATTAGTCTGCAAAGAAACCTGGAAGCATTACGGTATTATATTATATTGAAAAATATTAGAAACATTGATTTTGATTGATGTTTATAATTCGAAAAATAAATCAATATTGGGTTGTAGAACATAATAAAATTCAATAAAAGTAATGAAATTCGATAATGCTTAATCGCGCAGAAAACATAGAAGTCTAGACAAATTGCAACCCATGAGAAGAATTGCGAAACACCAGTTTAAAAAGAGGCGTACAAGTTAAGATTAAGTGTGACCGTAGATGGACAATGGACAACTAAATGGACATCTACTCCTTAGCAATAAGGATAAGTAGATGTGGTATGTAGTAATAATCCTCTAAATAAGGGTAACTTTTGTTGGAAAACAAAAAATATATATATGATATGAATAAAGTGAAATGAGAGGAAAAAGCATGCTTGCAGAGTTGTTCTTGATTTAGTGCAAGATTTGCAAGAATCGGAGTAAAAAGTCACATGACAATGTTTTTTGCTAGTTTTTCACTAAATATTTTGTATATTTACATTTGTTAGAATAAACAAATATGAAAGTTTCTGGATGAGTTTTTTAGTGCAAAAATGAATGGGGTTCAACGGACACCCGATGGTAGTTAAATAAATGCTGGTATTTCTAGGGTTAATGTGGATTGTTTTTGTTGTTATGTTACAAAAAACATATAAATTTGTTTTCAAACTAAAACAAAATATTAATATTTGAAAATAATTGCTTAATATCACGGTTTTAAATAAAATTAATTAATTAGAAGTAGCAAGCATCATTTTATCGCTGCTTACTTTGTCAACAAAAGTAGGACATTACTTTTATCGACAATGAAAACGTAACACTATAGCTTTGTTGCTAAAAATCCACCAGTAGACAATATAGCAAAATTAAAAATTGTTGAAATATACCTCAGAGTTTCGTTTGAAATACAGGTCAGCTGGTGAGCACCTTACCCAATCAGACATCTTTTCCTCTTTGTAATTTTCTAACAATGTCTGCCATTCTCTGGCTTCAGCTTCTATCCTTTTTTCATCATCGTTTATTACCAAATTTGTGTAACATTTGTTGCTGGTAAATCTGAAATGTTGGATGTCTAGTATTAGAAAACATAACATTCAAGTAGATAATTGAACGAAATTCCATACGATTTTGAAACTGTCTTTTTATCGAAACTTTTGATGGAAGTATCTGAAACTTTACTACATTTGACATTTTAAAATAAAAAATAATATATAGTAATGAACAAAATATATATAACAAACCTGTACTTCACAGCATCTGTATCTTCAACTGAGTTTTCTGAACACTTGTAGTCAAATAAACATAATATATTTTAGTACAATTATTACTAAAACGTTAAGTAAGTCAATTTTGAAGTTGGCTTATTGTCAAAATCACCAAAATATATTTTACGGTGGTGATTAGAATTTAGTTATGAATTAAAAAATTTATTTTTTTTAAAAATCAGCTATAAAAATTGTGTATAGAAATAAATTAAACATACCTTTCTAAGAATAAATAACTTATCTTAAGTATCCAAATCATTTTTATAATCAAAAAGCCTATTTTTACATGAACTACTCACATGAACTATAAATATAATATATTTTAGTACAATTATTACTAAAACGTTAAGTAAGTCAATTTTGAAGTTGGCTTATTGTTAAAATCACCAAAATATTTGACGGTGGTGATTAGAATTTAAATTTGAAATTAAAAAATTTATTTTTTTTTAAAATCAGCTATAAAAATGTGTATAGAAATAAATTAAACATACCTTTCTAAGAATAAATGACTTATTTCTATCCAAATCATTTTTATAATCAAAAAACCTATTTTTACATGAACTACTCTTTAAATTGTAGTGGGCTGATACTTTTTTAATTTGTTTAAATTGACTAGTTTGATAGGCAGTATCATCCGTACTACTGACCAAAAAATTTAGAGAAGGCATCCTTAAAACTTGACAGGGTGGTGAATTTGAAAATTTGAAAAAAACTTCTTTTTCATGATTTGTGGTAGAAATCGAAGATCGCTTAAAACTTTCTTCATCTGGAATAAAACTGTTCCCAATAAATTGAGAAGAATCGTTACGAACAAAGTTAAACGGCAGAGCTTGTAAGTTTTGGTCCAATGAATTTCCGTCAATTGGTTGGTTCGTTGTAGTAGAATTAGTTATAAACTGAACATTTTGCAAGGGCGGTTGAAAAAAAAGAGGAGGTGGAAAATGTGGAGGAGGCAAGTTAAATATTGTGGGCCCACGATGACTTTCGTTCATGAGGAAAGGAAATCTTAGTGGAGGCTAAAAAAAATTATATGCAATTTTAAAGTGACAGAACTATAAAAAAATTAAGATTATATGGTAAAATATAAAAGGTTACATTTTACATTTACATTATATATATTTTATATTTTACCATTTTACATTCACATCATATATATTAATATATATACAGCAATGCATATATATAATTATTTCGTCGCCAATAATTATAGTTCGCCAATAATTATAGTTTGTTTAACCCTTAACATACCAAGGGGGGTCCTTCAAGAGTAGTTTTCCTTAACCCTGTCAAAAGTAACCAAACAAATTCCACCATGATTTTTCTATTCCTCCCGATTAGGGTAGCAATAAATATTCCATTGTTGTTTTTATTATACGTTATTTCAAAAACAGTAAAAAAGAGCATTGGGGTCCTACACGCTTGGTACACTACGTTACCGATTGTGTTTTTGTTTTTTAACACTTATGGCTGAAATTGTAGACACATTTTAAAGGTTTCAGTATTAAAAAGTATTATTCTGCATTCTTACTGAATATTTGCTCATCTTACTTACTTTTAATTTGTCCTCCATTTGCAAAACTTCCGTTGAAAATTATTATTTTCTGTTTCAAATAAAGTTTATAATTTGCTGTAAAGATTTTGATATCATAAAATATAAACGTAAACGTTTGAAAATAAGAAAAATGGCTCGTAGACAAACTACAGATGAGATTCTCCGAATGTTAAATGAATGTGAAATCAGTGACAGTGACCCGGAAGATGTATTGGAACAATCTGATGAAGAATTTATACCAGCAGGAGATGCATCCGAATTGGAGGACAATCTTGAAGTAAATTCTGAATATAGTGACAGTGCTAGTGAAAATTCGGATACAAATTCGGATGAAGATGAATTCACAGCAAAATCAGGTAGAAGATGGACAAGTTCTGTGCCACCATCATCTCGCCGTCGTCAATATAACATTGTCAAGGGATCACCCGGGCCAACACGCGCAATTAATGTTGCATCGACGATATCTGAAATTTTCAACTGGTTCTTTGACGACCGAATTGTGGATGCTATATGCACCTTCACCAATGCTGAAGCTTCTAGAGTTATTAATGATTTCAATGCAACTGCTGATTCGAATAAACAGAAAGCTTGGACAGATGTAGACCCTGTTGAAATAAAAGCATTTTTTGGTGTTCTGCTGATTGCTGGAGCTCTTCGCTGTAGTAAGGAAAATATTTCTGAAATGTGGACGACAGATGAAAATATTCGTCGTGCTGTTTTTACTGCTGCCATGGCACGAAACAGATTTGCACTCATCCTTCAATTTATCAGGTTTGACGACAAATTAACACGTGCTCAAAGGAGAACAACTGATAAACTTGCAGCTATTCGTGAAGTTTGGGATTGGTTTGTAATAAATTGCCAAACGCTTTTTACGCCATTTGAAAACATCACAGTAGACGAGCAGCTTGTAGCATTTCGAGGCAAATGTCCGATGAGGCAGTACATGAAATCAAAACCAGCAAAATATGGAATAAAAATATGGGTGGCCACAGATGTGAAGACTTCATATTTGTACAACTTACAAGTCTACACTGGAAAGCTTCCAGGAAATGCACCAGAGAAAAATTTAGGACACCGCGTAGTATGTGACTTGGTGGAACCACTGTTTGGATCTGGAAGAGGTGTCACTACAGACAATTTTTTTACATCCGTGAAGACTGCAGAATTTTTGCTGCAAAAAAGCATCACCATGACAGGAACATTGAGAACTAAAAAAACTGATATTCCTTCAGTTATAGAAAATGCAAGAGGACGAGACATACTTTCATCAAAATTTATATTTTCTAACGGGGTAGCAGTAGTCAGCTATGTCCCAAAGAAAAACAAAACAGTCCGTTTACTCTCAACTCAATTTCTAGATAATTCAGTATCCTCTGAAAGTCACAGGAAGCCCAACATGATACTGGAATACAATAATACCAAGGGTGGAGTGGACAATGCAGATAAATTGATTAGAGAATATTCTTGTGCTAGACGAACCTCAAGATGGCCTCTAAGACTTTGCATGAATATGCTCGATATTGGTGCCCTGAATGCCTTCATAATTTGGATGTCGAAAAACAATGACTGGAATAGACATATGAAGAATATTAGATATCAATTTTTGTTAGAATTAGGCAAAGAACTGACCAAACCCAACATTCTACGAAGGACAACCAATCTAAATGGTCTCCACCTTCCAGTTGTCAAAGCAATTGAAGCTGCAGGAGTAGTTGTAGCACGCAACACTACAACCCAAAATATACCATCAGCATCAAGGCAGCAGCAGATCAAAAGGGGAAGATGTTCTTACTGTCCCAGAAACAAAGACAAAAAAGTTAACACAGTCTGTGGAGAATGTAAACGTTTTGTCTGTGAAACACACAGGAAGACAATCACCACTGTGACATGCGCCAAGGATTGCAGGGATAGCAACCAATGATTGATATATATAAATTTATAAATATATTATATACATACATAACATTTACCTATTTTTATTATAATAAATTTTTCATTATATTATTTTAAACGGATGAAAATTTTGAATAATCGATGAAAAGAAGAAAAATCAATTATGCTCAGAATACTTGTTTTACTAAAAAATATCTTAAAACACCCAATAATCATCAAATAACTGAGAAATATCAAAAAATAATTGGGGTCCCTTGAGGACCCCAGCTTGGTAAACAATGTTGATGACATTGGCTTGGTATGCTAAGGGTTAAGCAGATTTTCATATATATATATATATATATAAAATTTATATATATATAAAATTTATATATATATATATAATATATATCAATCAATCAATCAATCTTCGTTTTGCGTCCAGAGACCCGGTTTCCCGAGGTAGGACGTTGTTCTCTTTGCCATCAACTTTTTGCGCCAAATTAGACGATCAGTTGTATCTATTTCATTTAAATTTAGCTTTCATGTCTTGTTCGATTGTTTGCGACCAGGACTTCTTTGGACGGCCTTTGGGACGTGTGCCAGGTACTTCAATATCAGCAAGAGAAGTTATGGCACTGTTTTCACTTCGTTTGACATGACCAAACAACCGCAGACGGTGTTGCCGGCATTCGTCCTTTGTATCATCTAAACCAGCACGACGCAAGATTTCGGTAGATTTGATGTGGTCCTTCAGACTAATTTGTTACATCCATCGGAGCATTTTCATGTCGATTCGTTGAAGTTGTTGTTCCAGTTTGGTTGTCATTGGCCATGTTTCTGCACCATACAACAACACCGGACGTATCACAGATTTATAAAGTCTTGATCGTAATGGTAGTGGGATGTCACGCCGCATCAATATAGAGGCAAGGAGATGCCATTTATTCCAGGCTGCACGTATGCGTGCTCGAACGGCAGCTTCAAATATATTATATAAATATATAACATATAATATATATATATATATATATGAGAACCAAATCCTAGACAATATGTAATAAATCCACCGATTTAAAAGTGTTTATCAACTTATAATCAAATTTTTAAATTTGTCTTAGTAAATTTTTGTCAAAAAAATTGAGTCTGTTTAAAATTGAAACTTTATTGTTATTAAAAAAATATTTTATTAAAATTATTGCAGAGGATCTATTTCGACTTTAAACCGTCATCGTCAGTGCGTTAATAATTGATTTATTGAAAAAAGAAACATGAATGAAATTCTAATGAAAAATTGTAACAACGAAAAGATCTATTATTAGATCTATCTTCAATAATTTTAATAAAATGTTTCTTAATAAAAATGAAATTTCAATTTTAAACAGACTCAATTATGTTGATAAAAATTTAAAGAGACCCAGTATCTCGAGGTAGGACGTTGTTTTTTTTGCCATCAAACTTTTGCGCCAAATTAGACGATCAGTTGTATCCATTTCATTTAAATTTAGAGCTTTCGTGTCTTGCTCGATTGTTTGCGACCAGGACTTTTTTGGTCGGCCTTTGGGACGTGTGCCAGGTACTTCAACATTTGCAAGAGAAGTTATGGCGCGGTTTCCACTTCGTTTGACATGACCAAACCACCGTAGACAGTGTTGGCGACATTCGTCCTTTATATCGTCTAAGCCAGCACGACGCGGCGAGCTCCCAAAATTTTTTAAAATATTCAAAAAAGATAAAATTAAGACTTGACAGGCAAACCAAAAATTATTTCATTAATTAGTACTGGTGAGATAAGCATAAAAGTGTGAGCGCGAGAGCCAGAATTTTTTAATTTAGCTTCAGTTACTGAAGTAGAGGTCTACATGGGAAATTTCCCGCAAATACCCGCGGGAAAACTGCGGGTTGGGAACAGAAGTTGGAGGGAAACTCGCGGGGCGGAGCGGGAATGAAAAGCGAGGGATATTTTTCGTGTGGGAAGTACCGCGGGACGGGAAAAATTCTAAAGGGAAAACCGCAGTTGACTTGACTTTGATGGCGAAGTTACAAAAATGTTGAATATTAATGAGAAAAACTTCATAGCTTAAACAGCGACGCAATTGAAAAAGTTAAATTATTATTATTACTAAGTTTAAAGCTAAGCAAGCTCACAGATGCATAAGCATTACGCTAAATAATATTCATTGTGATAACACGAAAGGACACGTGACCAATTATATTAAGTGTTATGTGCAGGGTAAATCACTATTTATTCTATTTGTTTTTGGGCGATAATTAATGTACAGTGTGACTTTTACTGTGACATGCTTTTTAGTTCGTTCAATTCGTTTGGTTATAGAACGTTATATTTATTTTACGTAATAAATTAGTATACGTACATTACGCTTATTGTTTTCTATTTAGTTTGTGTTTCAACTCTTCAAAACAGCAAAACACAACATTAACATTGTAGCCAGAAGATTCCATGCTTCTAAAATTAACAAAATCTACAATCTACCAACATTCACGGTATGTTTATTGTATATATATATTGTATATATATATATATTGTATATAAATATATATATATATATATATATGTATATATATATATATATATATATGTATATATTGTGTAATGGTGGTCCGCAGCATGCCCATTAAATTCCGTACCGGTCCGTGGAATAAAAAAGTTTGAAAAGCACTGTTCTAACAGATGTATACCCCGATATGATGAACATTTCAATGGATCACCTTTGCCTTTGTATAGCGGAACTGTCATGCTATAGTTCCATTCAGTCGGCATTGAGCAATTTCCCCACACTTCACGGCAAAGTCGTAGTAAGGTTTGGATACCTGCAGTACCAGATGCTTTGATAATATATATATATATAAACCATAAGTTTACCAATTATATATGCATATATAAGAATATATATATTGCATATATAATTGGTAAATTATATGCATATATAATTGGTAAACCATAAGTTTAAGAGTATATAACTCAATTATTGTAACCAAGAAACGCAAATTGAGGTGTCACGACCAATAGGTAAGAACAACATCGCGTTGTTAGAAGGTTTAAGAACCCATTCAGTCACAAGAGGTATAATATATATACATATATATTATCCGGCAGGCTACTGATGAGTCTCGTGAGACGAAACGTACGTCTGGCTTATGGCGGGTAATGGTTTGCCAATAATACCTCTTGCGACTGAATGGGTTCTTAAATCTTGTAACAACGTGATGTTGTTCTTACCTATTGGTCGCGACACCTCAATTTGAGTTTCTTGGTTACAATATTTGAGTTGTGTTATCTTAAACCTTATTCGGCAGGCTACTGATGAGTCTCGTGAGAGACGAAACGTACGTCTGGCCTATGGCGGGTAACGGTTTACCAATAATACCTCTTGCGACCTAATGGGTTCTCAAACCTTGTAACACACGATGATGTTCTAACCGATTGGTCGCGACACCTCAATTTGAGTTTCTTGGTTACAATATTTGAGTTGTGTTATCTTGAACTTTATTCGGTAGGCTACTGATGAGTCTCGTGAGAGACAACAGGTATAATATATATACATATATCTCGTACGTCTGGCCTATGGCGGGTAATGGTTTACCAATAATATAATATAATTATTATTTATATAATAAAATATATATATATATATATCTATTATTAATCTAAGTAAATATCAACCGACAATCGCTGAATTCCTTAACCTTGGACTTAATTGTCATTACATGAGGAAACCTAAGAATCTTTAAAAAGAAATTGAAATTGAAAAATTAATGGACGACTTAATCAAATTAGAAAGTCAAAAACTTATAACACTCAACATAAACAGTGTTAACTACCTAAAAGCTAAAAGATGATCGCCCGATGGAGTTGGAAGCAACTCGATCAAATGCCTACGACGCATTTGTCACAGCTATACATATCCATACAACCGAGAAGTCCGAGATCCTGAACCGATCGGGACTGTGCACGTTGAAGGATGCATGTCGTCGTCATCGTCTACGATGGTTTGGCCATGTGAAGCGAAGCGAAAACGATACAATAATTTCCGTTTCTGAGCACCAGGTGCCTAGCACCCGCCCAAGAGGTCGCCCAAAAAAGTGCTGGACGCAGACAATACAGGAAGACATGAAGGCGCTCAAAGAGACAGATGCAATGAAGATCGGCTTGGAGACAGAGGCTGATGAATGGAACAGTCCGACCCATAAAGGATGGAAACTATAAACGAGGACTGATTGATTGATATAAATTATAAATATTATACAATTTCTATATTATTGTATTTATTTTAGTTTTTGGTTACTATAGTCCCAATATTTTATATTATTTCAAATTATGACACTGATGATGGTAATTTTGCCGAAAAAAGCTTTCCTGTTGCAATTAAACTATTTTAATTGTATTAGTTTTTATTTAATATATTTCATTAATTTATTTAAAATGTTAAAATTTTAAAATGTTATTTTTAAATTAATAGCATTAAAATGAATATTATAAAACAAACAACAACACACGTTTAGACGACATTTTCCCCGAGATCGGGGGACGCCATTCACATCTGTCACTCGCCTCAGTATCACGCAACCCCGCTTTCACTATGTCCTTCTCCACTAGCTCTCTCCATCCCAATTCCTATCACTCCTTCAACCTCGAACTCCAACGCTCGCCTAATCCCGACCCTTTCATCCCTTCTCAATACATGTCCATACCATCGCAATCTCGATCTTCTTATCAATATCACAATGTCTTCATTCAGTCCCATCATCGACATCAGCTCTGTACTACTCCTCCTATCCTTCACTTTAACCCCACACATCATCCTCACTATAGCTCTTTCAGCCCTCTGCAGTACACTTTCCTCCTCTCATCCTGATATTACCCTCACTATTACCTTTCCAAACACCATCACAACCACAATTACACCATTGCTTTTCCGCCTCACTTCCAATACCTGCTCCACCAACTCTTCTCTTACCATCACGCCGACTCCTCCCGTACCATCATCCCCCTTCCACCACAACATATCTTCCACCTTTAGCCCCCACAAACCTTGTATACTCTCCCTTCCATCTGATCTCCTGTAATGCAGCCACGTCAACCATTCTCCTCTGCAACTTCACCACTTCCAAACTCCTTCCTGTCAACGTGCCTACATTCCAGGTACCAAACCTCCAAACCCTTGGTCTGCAAGTAATCCTTCCATCCATAATGCCTTGCACCGCCACGCTAAAGAGTGGGGTGCCAGTAGCCAGACCATCCACAGGGCCTTGCACCGCAACCCCATGGACTGAATTCTTCGCAATCTCTTCTGCCGGATACTGAGGGCCATTGTCACTTCCGTCATCATAAGTATTTTTTTGGCTAATTTTTACGCAGGACGCCCTTCCTTACGCAACCACGGTTATAAGCGGTGGGCCTAGCCTTTGATGATCCAACATCACTCACAAGGCAGTAAAATGAATATTATAAAACATTTTGTTAATTTAACTAACTAATAAAGCAAATAATAACCTACAATTTGTTATTAGAAAAATAGATATATTAAAATTTAAATTATTAAATAATACTATGGCGATAGTATTATTTAATAATTATATATATATATATATATATATAATTATTAAATAATATATATATATATATATATGTGTGTGTGTGTGTACATATATACATATAGATCCCCACATACCATATGCAATGTGTATGATGCGTGGTTTGCACGCGCATTCATATACGCTGTGTGTTTGCGTTGAAACCTCTAAAGCAAACGCAAAAGAGAGAAAGTATCCTTTCACCTTTAATCTGCAGAAAATATGTGAATTGGATTACATCAAGGATCAATCCTTAGCTCATTGTTGTTCATATCGGTGATGAAAAAAATTACTAAATACGCATGTATGCTGATGATATAGTACTGACGGCTACATCCGAAGTAGAGACAGCGAAAAAGTTTGAGGTCTGGAGTCGACATTTGGCCAAACAAGGGCTCAAAGGGAACATAGGAAAGACAAAAGCGCTGATTATGCAAAAAGCGCTCCTACCGGCCGCTGGCCATGCTCGGTCTGCAATGCCGGTGTTGGCAGCAACTTAATTTTGTGTCATTGTAAAAAATTGTCATGAAAGGTGCCCGGAAATAACTGGAGCATTGTCTTCTGTAGCGGGAAATTTCATTTGCCTAACTTGTCAAAACCCTAGCTTCTATATTCACTCGACCTGACATTCCTCCGCAGCTGCGAACAAAAACGACAGTCCGTGATACCATTACTGGTTTATGAAGCAGTAAAATGGCCCATGACCAAAAGCCCTGAACAGCAACTGCACAGAAAAGACAAAAAACGTTGCGATAGATATTGCGTGTGCGTTTGGTCGACTACATTGAATCAGTTAAGATATTGTTTCGTAGCGGGCTTCAATCAATAAATAAAGCTTTGCAAAAACATTGTATGCGCTGGTTCGCTTAAGTAAAAAGGAGAGAGAATGCAGCAATATAGACTATTTAAATCTCGATCTTGATGAATCTCGATCCGAAGACAACATGACAAACAACCATTGAAAACTGCTGGGCTGAATGAAGATGCCTTGAGCATAAGGGAACCACGGACGCTTAAACGACGATTGATTGATTTGATAATCAAACCCTCAGACCTATCATAAGCCAGATAACTACCCCAACATAGGCAATTGCTTAAAAAAAGCCGAACGAAATTATCACTTTTTGTATTATGCTTAGGATCAACATTTGACTTAAGAACCAAAAATCATCAATAGAGCAACAAACCATAGGTAAATGGGAAGACGACGTAAATTGTCGCATGTTGGCGAAGAAAAGGCTAATAAGTGGTTCAAATGCGCGCTGAATCAAACATCAGCTGCTTCAAATCAATGAATGAATATATGAAGAACACAATAAAAGATATATAGATAATATATATGTAACATTGTAAGTAGTTCTGCGTATGTCAGAGCTGTAATAATAAAGACTAAAAAAAATACAATTGTTAAGAAACATCACTGAATTTCATAATAACTGTAAATACAATTGTTAAAAAATATCACTGCATTTTCAGCTTTTATCAAATGATCTAAGCTGAAAATGCAGTAATATTTCTTAAAAAATGTATCTACGACGGTCTCAAACCTAATTTTATAAATAACAAATCATGGAATGACGATGTAATAACTGAAGCCAGTGACGCAATCAGCAATGAATTGGAACTAACTGATCAAAGCTGAAAATGCAGTGGTATTTTTAATATATATATATATTTAAAATTTGACTATAAATATGTTTAATTATTTAATTTTATCTTCAATTTTATGTTTAACCATATTATAAAGATACGTTACATTATTACATTATTATTATCAACATTCAATATATAATTTAATTTCATCTTAATATTATTCTATATCTTCCTAATTTATCTTATTTCACTGATTTTAATATTTCAAAATTATTCACTATTATTATCAACATTCAATATATAATTTAATTTCATCTTAATATTATTTTATATCTTCCTAATTTATCTCATTTCAATGATTTTAATATTATTCACAATAATATTCAGCTCCGATGACGGCTAAATAGCCGAAACAGCGCTGTCAGCTTAATTTCATCTTAATATTATTTTATATCTTCCTAATTTATCTCATTTCAATGATTTTAATATTTTAATATTATTCACAATAATATTTAGCTCCGATGATGGCTAAATAGCCGAAACAGCGCTGTCGACTGACAAATTTCATGTATGTTTTGAATAAATACGAATTCAAAAAACTACGTGGTGTTGAAGTTCTTATCAAAAAAAACTTTTTTTGAACGCAGAGTAGGCATACAAATGTTGGCGTTAACATATTAACGCCAAACATTCGGTAGAATTTATAGAATCTTGTATAAATTAAAAAAATATCGTCTACTACCAACATATATATATATATATAATTTCATATCTTTTGGCAATTAACTCAGTTAAGAAACCTGAAAAATACATGCACATTTAACAAAAAAAGAATTGTGAATATATATGTTGGAAGGAGACCATATTCTTGTCCTGGGCATGACATAAAACTGCATCCACGCTGCCTTGCGTGCTTTTGAGCAAAAGGCTAGGCCCACCGCTTATAACTGGTGGTTGTCGTCAGGATGGGTGTCCGGATGTAAAAACTTATTACAAATTACTCTTATGCCATCACAAAGAAAAACAACGACTCCTAGTCCCCAGCAGGCCTTAAGTGGTCAAGGGGTGCCAAGAATCCCTGGGAAGTATGCAATAGCGGAGGGATGTTGCAGAAAAATTCAGAATGGCCCCTCTATGGTACTTAGACTTGGAACGCTCAATGTTGGATCACTGACTAGCCGCAGCATGGAAATCGCAGAAATGCTCGAGCGTAGAAGGATTGACATCTACTGCCTTCAGGAAACCCGATGGAAATCGAATGGTATGTCATGTCAACTCAGACAGAAAAATATAAACTATTCTGGAATGGTCAAAAGACGGCCAAAAATGGTGTTCGAATTTTTGTCAGAGAACCGCTAGCCCAAGAAGTACTGGATATTAAAAGGATTAATTCACGTCTCATGTGGATCAGCAAACAATGATTATTTTTTCTGCATACGGACCACAGACAGGCGAATCAGAAGAGATGAAAAATGACTTCTGGGCTGCATTCTTTGACACCATCTCAACAATACCAAAATCTGAAACAATCCTGATTGGAGGCGATCTCAATGGCCACGTTGGAGAGAAAACAGATGGTTTTGACAACGTACATGGCGGTTTTGGCTATGGAAAACGGAATGAAGATGGCAACCACATCCTTGAGTTTGCTGAAAGTCACGGGTTTTGTTTACTAAACACATATTTTAGAAAGAGGTTGGAACATCTCATAACATACAAAGTAGACCATCAGCCACGCAAATTGATTTCTTCCCTGTCAAGCAACAACACCGAAGGCTGTTCAAAAACGTCAAAGTTATACCTGGCGAATCATGTGTCGCCCAACAGACTCCTTGTGACAGACCTTGTTGTCGAACTGTCAAAACATAAGTCTAAACAAATGCCTCGGAGAATCAAAACGTGGAAGCTGAAAAGCAATATTCATCGAGAATAATTTCAACAGATTGTCGCCACAGTTAGACCACCAATCGCAAGCCAGTACAGATTGGAGTACATACAAAAACCGCTTTGATGAAAGCTGCAACTACAGTTTGTGGGAAAACTGGTACAAAACGTCAGCATGAACGTGACACTTGGTGGTGGAATGACAGTGTACAAAATGCAATAGCTGAAAATAAAGTTGCATACAAGCCATGGCAAAAATCAAAGTCTGTTGATGACCATAAAATTTTCCGTGAGAAGAACTATGCAAGACGTCAAGTTGCACTGGCTCGGACAGATCAGTGCAGAGAGTGGCTCACTAAAAGCAAAGGTGAACAAATGAAATCTCTGTATCGTATAGCAAAACAAGCAAAGCGTACGAAAAAAGACATAGTTGGTGCCTCATGTATCAAAAATGACAAAAATGAGATGGTTCTTTAACAAGATGAGATCAAGTTACAGTGGAGAGAATACTTCAACCGTCTGTTAAATGAAACAAATCCCATCAATGTTAACTTTGACGCTCCACCCATCGAAGGTCCGATTCCAGACAAAACTATAGAGGAGCTTACAGAAGCTCTGAAAGCTAAGAAGGAGGAAAGGCAGCAGGGCCCTCTAGACTCACAAACAACATTATCAAAGCATCAGGTATCCAAACGTTACTACAATTTTGCCGTGAAATCTGGAGAAATTGCTCAATGCAGACTGAATGGAACTATAGCATGAGTCCCGCTATACAAAGGCAAAGGTGATTCATTGAACTGTTCATCATATCGGGGTGTACGTCTGTTAGAACACTCCCTGAAGATTGTCGACAAAATCATTGAGAGAAGATTAACGTGGTGCATCACAATCGGAAATTATCAATTTGGTTTCCTAGCGGGAAAATCAACAATTGATGCAAAGCATCAAAAACTATCACACATTTTTGTAGACCTTGAAAAAGCATTTGATCGAGTTCACCGTGAAGCAATCAGGTGGAGTCTACGTCGACAACTCATTCCAGAATATCTTGTTCGACTTGTGATGGAAATGTATACGAATACTAAGACTCTTGTCAGCACAACGGTCGGGAACACAGATGCATTTGACATCGGCATTGGAGTTCACTGTTATTTATAACTGTGATGGAAGAAATCACAAAACCGATACGCACTGGTGACATTTGGAATCTAATATATGCTGATGATATCGTTTTAACAGCCATGTCTGAGCAGAATGCAGCACAGATGTTTGAAAATTGGAACACCAGACTCGCCGATCATGGATTTAAAGTCAACATCAGCAAAACCAAAGCAATGAACACTGGTGAACCCATCCAATCCACAGCTACTGGACGATGGCCCTGTTCAGTTTGTAAAGCTGGTGTT